TTTATGTAGTTTATAATATAAAAATATGTATATATGTAGACAGAAGGCTTGTCTTCATCTTACCTAGTCCCACTGGACTGGTTTCTCTACACTCACAGGGTCCCCCTCACTAGTTCTGGCATTTGCTTATGAAATTATCACTTTGAGGCTTATTATCAGTTACAACTGTTTGACCATTATCTTAAGTTTATTACTGTGGTTATTAAATTAACCCATTTCTCTTAATCTTCATATTGCCACGAGGCTGTAGCTTACTCGTGAGGCACGTTACTCCTTTGGCCATTACATGGTGTCTCCTCGACTCTGCCTACTCTCTCTCATTTTCTTTGTTTCTTTGTTCCCACTTTACTTTGCTAAGCCCATTGATTAAAACAGATTAATTTATCAACCAACAAAAGCAACACATATACAGAAGGACATCCCACCTCATATATATGTACATGGATATATGTTATTTATATTGTTATTAGGTTTTTAAAGTGATATGCTTCCCTATAGCAATTTAAAACATCATAGGACATAGAAGGATGTTTCTATACACATAAACTGACAAATGTAATAAATCATTGGATAAGTCATTTATTCTGTTTTCTCCACCTTTTGTTATTTTTCAACTTATGTTTCTTTCTGGATATATTTCACCCCCCCCATTAGTTTATCAGTTCTGCTTTCTAGAGTGTTCACATTATAATAAGAAATATATTCCTTGAAGTTTTTTTTATAAGAGATCATTTTTAGTTAAGAAAATATTGCTATGAATTTTAAATTCCCAGGAATATTCCTAAAATTTGCCCATGTCTTTTTAACATTAGGATTTTAAAGGTTGTTTCTGATAATTCCAACCATATGTGTTTGTATTTTCTGTAATTTTCTCAAGGTTATGCTGGTGTTTTCTTTTCCTCTTTGCAAAAAAAAAAAAGGAACTTAGCTTGAAAGTGTGTTTGTGGAAGCAGGCAGAAACCTAAGATGATGTGTTCCTCCTGTATTTGATACTGCAAGGTTCTTGTTGTCTTCAGTGTGTCATACAGTTGTGAGCCCCTGTATTCTGGGGTCAAAATAGAAGACACACATCAGGACAACCCTGTACTGTCTGCATGCTGTGGGATAAGTACCAGGAGGTAGAAAGTTTGCAGTGTGGCCTGATAGATACTCAGATACATCTTCTGAAATCAAAAGATGCCCTGAGAGTTGGAACCCCAAACCTGAAACCCCTCTTAAGAGGTCTATGTGTCTGTAGAATCTGACCTGTTGATATGTCACTATCTAATTTGAACACTTCATAGACCTAGGATATTTGTTTATATATAAATATTTTAGCAACTTTTTTCCAGTTGATTACTTCTCCTTCAGTGGAAGAACCAGTCCAGATGATTGGTTCTTCAATTATCAGAATCAGAAACTCTGGAATTTTATGTACTAAACTATCTGAGTAAGTGATAATTTATATTGTTAGTTTGATTTTTTTTCTCAGTCGTTTACAAATACTCCTTTCCTCTATGCTTTTCGGGTTATTGTTATTTTTACCACCATGTGTCTAGTGAATAATTTTCTTCTTTTATGTTTTCATTTTGATACTTAAATCCGAGTTTCATGACCTTTGTTAGTTTTGCAGATTTCTTAGTTTTTAATTCAATTAATTGTGAGAACTTCTCAATCTGAACTCAATCTATTTTAAAGCCTCCTGTCACCCTGCCCTGGTTCTGCCTGCTGATTAATTTATCAAACTTCTAGCTTGACTCCTCTCTATTCAGTTCTCATCAACCTGCCTCTCACATCATTCATTGTGTCTTACTACATTTTTCTACACATTTTTATAGACTTTCAGTAATTTATTATGTTGTATTTTATACTAGTTTTAAGAAGGACAAATAATGTCACATTTAACTAAAGAATTCGGGAGAACTATGGGGTGTGTTACATCTTTATGCATAAATGGTAAAGAAGAAAGTCTGAAGTTCTCCTCTGGACTGACATTAATGAAAACTCACTAAAGTTTTTGTTTAAATAGAGGTCTTGGCAAAGTTGATGCAGGTTCATTTAAAAAGGGATATGTTTCACAAGACACAGCAGCAGCCACTTCCAAAGTCTGAATGTCTTTAAAGGCTCATTTGTTTAAATAACACATCTAAAGATGTTTTAGGGAGCTGCAAAAGACTAAACACTTTCACACAGATCTCCATTTGGGGGGGGGGCAAGGAGAATGGAACTGAGATTTTCTAAGTGTTTTCAACTTACACTTTATCAGAACTACACATAAACTATGAAATTGTATCTGTTGCTGGTTGACTGTACAGGAAGAAGGAACATTTCATCTGCAACTTTCTGATACCCTTTCTTGGCATTTGGGAGTTACCACAGTGCTAAGTCTCAGTACTGGAACACCAGGAACAATGACAAAGGCAATTCATCTTTGTTTATCAAATGTCAAGAAAGGAAGAATCTTTTCCCATCCAGTTCTGGCTGAGGCTATGACCACACTTCTGTCTAGTCATTCAGAGACCATGTTTTTCTATTACATTCTTGAGTGGGTAGAAGTCATTAAAAGGTGTGGGTCTCAGTCTTACCTCCTCTCCAAACCTTACTGTGCCTCTTTCCTGACTGCACAAACCTGGGATCATAAGGTTGAAACCCTTGAGGGGCAGGAATGGCTTGATTTTCTCGAAGATTTCAGATTCCTTTGTCCTTTTGACTTTTGGAGTTTTATCAACTTCCTTATTGGGCCAGTTGCATATTTATCACTCTTGCTTTGAATTTTCAGCTGTGAAGTATCTAGCCTGAATTAAATTCTCATGTCATCTAGCCTTCTCTAATGAAAGAAATGGAAATTATTTCTTTAATCAGAAAAGAAAGAGCACAATCACTTAAAGAACACCTGATTGACTCATAAAACTGCTATGCTTTAATGATTTCTTAATTTTCAGCCTTACAAGTTTTAAGAATCTTTTTCTTATGAATAGCAATCAATTTCTGGGAATTTTCTTACTCTCTTCTGTTATAGTTTTTTTTAAAAAAACTATTTATAGATGTTCATTTTTGGAAATGTGTTTCCTGATTATAGCCCTTTCCCCCTCACCTCTTTCCTTTTTACAGACCTTCCTGATTAACTTCATGTCAAAAGTTATGTTAATCTTATTTGCTTCAATATTAAGTTTCATGTTGCTGTTTAGAGTTTCAAATTAAGCTAATCTGAGATAAAACTCCACTATTACTCAGACATCGTTCAATGCTTTTGCAGAAAATTAGTATTACTCATCAGGAGTACTTTTGCAACAGGGGTTAAGATCTTGGTCAATAAACTCTGTTAGTGCAAATGGAGGCACCAAATAAATTTGTGGCTGACAATGCATTAGTTGTCAGGGACGAGAGTTTAGTTTGAACACATCCCAACAATTACGACAGACATCTGCTTCTTTTTTTAATTTTTTTTATTTTTATTAAAAATTTCCACCTCCTCCCCTCCTCCCATTTCCCTCCCTCTTCCCCTCCCTCTCCAGTCCAAAGAGCAGTCATGGTTCCATGCCCTGTGGGAAGTCCAAGGTCCTCCCCCCTCCATCCAGGTCTAGGAAGGTGAGCATCCAAACAGACTAGGCTCCCACAAAGCCAGTACATGCTGTAGAATCAAAACCCACTGCCATTGTCCTTGGCTTCCCAGTCAGCCCTCATTGTCAGCCACATTCAGTGAATCCTGTTTGATCACGTGCTTGTTCATTCCCAGTCCAACTGGCCTTGGTGAGTTCCTATAAGCAGTAGAGTACTACTCAGCGGTAAAAAACAATGACATCTTGAATTTTGCATGCAAATGGAAGGAAATAGAAAACACTATCCTGAGTGAGGTAGCCCAGACCCAAAAAGATGTATATGGTATGTACTCATTCATAAGTGGATTCTAGCTATAAATAAAGGACATTGAGCCTATAATTCGGGATCCTAGTGAAGCTAAATAAGAAGGTGAACCCAAAGAAAAACATATAGTTATCCTCCTGGATATTGGAAGTAGACAAGACTGCCAGGCAAAAATTGAGAGCTTGGGGGTGGGGATGGGGTGGGGGTAAGGGGAGGTGGGTAGAGAGAAAGGAGAAGGGGAGGATAGGAAGAGCGTAGGGAAATGGGATGTTTGAGATGGAGGAAGGGTGGATATGGGACCAGGGAAGTAGATATCTTAATTAAGGGAGCTATTTTAGGGTTGGCAAGAGACTTGACTCTAGAGGGGTTCCCAGGTGTCCAAGGAGATGTCCCCAGCTAGTTCCTTGGGCAGCTGAGAAGAGGGCGCCTGAAGTGGCTTTATCCTATAGCCACACTGATGAATATCTTGCATAACGCCATAGAACCTTCATTTGGTGATGGATGGAGATAGAGATAGAGACCCACATTGGAGCACTGGACTGAGCTCCCAAGGTCCAAATGAGGAGCAGGAGGGAGAACATGAGTAAGGAAGTCAGGACTGCGAGGGGTACGTTCACCCACTGAGACGGTGGGGCTGAGACATCTGCTCTGACTCAACCTCCTCTCTGCTGAACATTAGTCTTTGATCATGCTGGTAGGGACAGAGTATAGTGATATTAATAGGTGAAAAGTCATTAATTAATTTTCAATTTTCTTCACATTGACAGAGAAATTTAAGGACTCCTGAATTTATCCTTGTTCCCCTGTGATAAAGAGAACGAGAAAAGGAAGAGATAGACATGTTACCTCACGGAAGCTTAGGGACAGGAGCACTTTGAAGTGCAGTATTATATCTGAAGGCTGCTGTGTACCACTCACAGCTACAGAGACAAGGCACAGCCATGATGGGTGATAGAGCATCCAGGTAGATTAAATAACAGACAGGCAGCAGAGAGGCACTGGCAGCTTAGTGACCACAAAGAGAGACAGTGCCCTTAGTTCTGGAATCAGCTTAATGATGATGGACACAGGAGCAAAGGGGTTGTTTCAGGTGATGTCACAAGCAGCAAAAGCCCTTGTCAGAACTCTCACGTTTGGAATCAAAAAGGGGGAAACAGGTTAGCTATCAGGGGAGAGGGAAGCAAGAGGACTCACATGAAGAGGAGGTTTACGCTGAGGTATAAGTAATATTTTTCTGTTAGGTAAGTGTAGTGGTACATGGCATGTAGGAAAGGCTAATCAACAGACTGTTTCAAATGGTTTAATTTTATTCTTAAAAATTCACCATTTTAGAATGTACAGATTCCATTTCAAGAAATCATTTTTAGAACAAGCCAGGTCTGTTACAAGCAGTGCATGAATCTTTACAGGATACCAAACTTCACAGCACAGTGACAGAGAAGTCTTAAGGAACATGCTTCAATTTTATAAGTAAATATTCTTTGATACTTTCAAGTGGAGCCAGCAACAGATGCCCTGTGGAGATCTGAATTTGATTCCATCTGCAATGTTTGTCTACAATGACCTGAGCAACACTTCCAGGATCGTCCATAGGGCCAGCTTTTGTGTATTTTTCTTGTTGTTTCTGAATGTTTGCTAAAGAGAAAGTTTCCCTTCCTTCAAAGAATAAACCCAAAGTGAGTGTTAATTCAAAATGTCGGTAAACTATACTGATTATTTTTTAATAGGGTTTTCACAAAATCCTGACTACTGGAATTTATTTTTTTTTCCTGAAGGGAGACTACAGTAGCTCACAGTACAGAACAATTCGACACATGTATTTTAAGCATTTTCAAAACAAAGGGACATGAGAACATTTTTGGGTGATCGAATCATGGTTATTTTTTAACCCATATTTCAAAAACTGTCTCTCCACCAAGTGGAAAAACTTCTAGAAAATGCTTTTCCCTCAAAAATTGCAGCAAGGCATTCATGTATGTTTCCCTAGGAAGATCAGTTTCTTAGGTGCAAGAGTCATTTACTTTGTAAAATCCTACAGTCTACTAAAATGATCTATGAAAAGTACAAACTCTACAAAGAAGTTGGTGTCCATATTTCAAAATCCTCAAAGGACTCTGGCAAGTGCATTTAGTAATAGCATTTTTGTTTTTGTTTTTTTTTTTTGCTGTTGTTGTTTTCCAAAGTATGAAGGAATTTCTGCAATTCAATTCTTCCAAACTACAAATTTCTAAGAAACAGCTGATAGACAAAATAGTGATGTAGGGCCATCAACACTGTGTGCATAGATCTCCCTCTCTACACAGAATAGTGAGTTCTCCAGTGCAGGGCAATTGGAACTGAATAATTAAACTATCTTATTTTAATAACTATTTAAGTCCATCAAACAATTGATCCTAATTGAAACATGCCTTTATGGCTTGAGTTTGGGGTTTTCTTTAATAATGCCAAAAGAACATCTATTTTATCTTGATCAGCATATAGAGAGAGGCCGCTTAGGGTCTTCCAAAAGGCAGACCATGAATTTTGGAGACCGATATAAATAAAATCATTGTGGCCTAATGTAGAACTAAGGTCAGAAAACCTTGGTCCCCTTTAGCTTCCGGCTTAGGAAAATATTTCACTTCAGAAGTCGGTGCTAACTCCTGCTGCACTTTGCATCTGCACCAGTGAAATGCCCAACAGCTGTGATTCTAGTGCTAAGCGATCACCACCGTTTCCAATGTTAGGATATTGTTGCTTGTGCAAATCAGACTTCTGAAGAATTGTGCTGACTACCAGAAACACCGCACTGACACAGAGAGGCAGTTGTGGTTATTATGAGCATAATTCCGCTCTAACTGATCTGAAGATCTAAGTAGGAACAACTTCTATTTGTTTCATGTCCAGAAGGAACTGGAAAGGTTTGATGGGCTCAAAGTCATGCCGTCAGAGTCTACCTGTCTTTCTAACAGTGATGGAGAATAATGGAGTGTGGAGGAATAAACAGGAATAAACCCTTTCCTCCTCAAGTTGCCTTGGGTAAGTGTGCTTTACCATAGCAACAGAAACCCTAACAATGACAAATCTATTTGATAGATTGCTAATGGGTCATTGCTTCCAAATCTGTGGGTCATAGATCAGTCTTCAGCTCCAGCCGGCAGATCAGTTCACACTGATGTGGGCCAGAATCTCCAGTAGAACATCCAACACAAAGAATTTCTATTTTAATTTACAGTTCTAGTTTTTAACTATCACCACAGACTTCCAACTCCCAAGTATGGGAAAACCTCTGAAGGAAGAGAATTTAAGTTACTTTTTTGGTTAATGTTCAAGGATACTTCCCAAAAAGTTAATGCTATTTTGCCTTGTGAAGCAGGGACTATAGCCACAACTTCTTCACAGCATTCTTGTTTTGGTACAGGTTCACTTTTTTTTAGGTTCCTTTTTGTTTTACTTTTGCCTTATGTTAAAGTTAGTTTATCTATGATTATAATCATATGTTGTCATCCCAACTTCTTTTCTCATATTCCAAATAAATAAACAAGCAGAAGGCTCAGTGATTACCAAATATTACTTTTTACTAATCTGTGAAAGGGAAGGATCTTCACATAATTCCCACAGTTCAGTTTAAGAGTAGAAAGCCCTGGAGAATTTTGATGAAGTTTCTTCCAAGTACACATCTTTAATGCATCCCTTTTTCATGTCTACCCTGGACTCACCATCTTTATATCTCTGTAAGTATGGTTAAGCTGGTGTCTTCCCACCCGTAAGCCCACTATGTGACAGAGAGACTACTACTTTCCATCAGAAACCATCATGATCATCATCTGTGACAGCAGCAGTGTGATTGCCTATGACTGAACATACTTTTCCTTGACCTTTCTCACTGACTGCTCACAGACATTGCTCTGAGCAAATGCTGATGGCTACAGCATTTCCTCTTCACCAGATAAGGTAGGTATTCTCTCTGCACCTTTAGCTTCATTCCTTGTAGTAACAGTGATTATGATTCTTTAAATGGTCTGATTTCCAGTTTCATCACTTGCTCTAAGAACATCTGGACAATCCATGCTGCTTGAGGGTGTTTGCAGAACCATTGTTTTTTGTTCATTTTCTTTCCTGTTCTTCCCCAAACTTTTCCACTGAGTCATAATAGATATGGATTTAATTTGAAATGACTTGATTATTCATGAGTTTGAGAATTTTTCTTTTTTGTTTACTGATTTTGTCCACTTGTTGTCTCTTTACATAGTTTCCACACTCATTTACACACTCACTATCTGCCAGGTTATATCCTTTCTTCCCAAACTATAGCTAGGATTTCTAGGTGTCTTCTGAGGAACAGAACTTCCTTATTTTTGTGAATTTGATTAATTATAAAAGTTTCATCTCATGGTGAAGTATATAATTTTAAGGACTAATTGCTTCCCTGAGACCGTGACTTACTTATGTTCTTTTTAAAGGATGGCCATGTTTACCACTCACAGTTAAAATGTATTTAGCTGGGATTGGCTATTTGTTGTCCCAACAGCATTTCTCTGAGGTCTCATTTTGTCCTTTGTACTTCTTCACAAATTCAGCACAAGCCTTACCTTGTCTCCTTACTTAATTCAAGTTGATCTCTTCGTCTGAATGTATAGATTTCGGGCATGTGACAAATGCTTATGTTTTATATACTGCTTCATTTTCAAAATTTACTACAACCACTTTCTGTACTTCTACACTAATTTTAATACATATTTCTACATACATGTTTGTAGCACTTTAGGTTTCATTTTCATCTTGTTACTGCACAAAGTTTTCTTCAATAGACTTGATATTGTGTAGGATATTGACATGAGCATGTCAAGCATTTATATTGTTCTTCTCTGAACTAATATACCTATATCATCACTGCATTGACCACCCATACTGAATAATCTAAGAATGGCATCTCATACCTATAGTCTTAGCACTCAGGAGTTGGAGACAGGAAGATCTGAGATCATTATCGGCTGCAAGGCAAATCTGAGGCTCCCCTGAACTAAATGAAACTATATCGGATACATACATTATATACATATATATGGTATATATTTTTGGTTCTAGGTATGTGTATATACACACACACAAACATATGTATATGTACATATACACATATATATATATGTATTCTTAAGATAAAAATCTAAAAACAGAAATGTATAAACTAAGAAAAAGGCTGTTTTGTGATTTTAGTATACCACAATTTGAAGACTGTTATACTCAATTGCAAAATGATGTTTTTCAGATATGTTCTTCCTCCAAGGAATTAGTAATGAAATAACACTTCATCTGAGTGAGCGTAAACATGCATACTAAATATTGAATTCAGAGCTTTGTACATGTTAGACTGCTTTTGAGTTTCCCTGCTTTCCTCGTGCCATTACAAGAGAAAAACCTTCCTAGATTTGGCCTGAACATTTAAATTGAAATGTTGGACTTGTTTTTCAGCTGCAGACTCTGGCTCTAGTTACATCGTGTCTATGAAGCCACTGCCCCTCAGACCTCTGGGAATTGCAGATTGAATTACTGTCATGCTCAGTGTGATAGGCAGAGATCAGCTTCAAAGAGGAGGACTTAAATTTCAGCTCATTCACAGCAGCAGTGGGTATGGAAGCCAAATACCAAGAATCACCCTTCTTTTACTGTGGTGCCAAGTTCAGCTGGCCTCATTGGCAGTGTTTTACTCCAGAGAAAGGAGCAGCATGTGCTATGAGGTCTGTGCACACAGAGCTTGCATCAGATTGACTTTTGCAGACCTCAGAGTGCACATGGTCACCGCTTCCTCACACTGGGCATCCATTATCAGGTCAGAAACCAGACAGATGCATTTACTCTCACATCGAATCACGCACTAAGCGTTAGTCATTATGGACACTACTGTCCTTCAGGTCCATTGCCACTTGTGTTCGAGGCCTCTAGGCATCACCTCCTTCTTGCATTTGTATCTCTCTACTAAAAGATCTTTAGCAGCAAACACACACACATACACACACACACACACACACACACGCACACACACACACACTTGCCTCAAAACAGCTTAACAAATCGAAGTGGAGGGAAATTACTGAACCAAACAATTGTAAGAACAGAGAGGTCTTCAGGTGTAGCTTCAAACACAAGTTCAAATTATACCACTGAAATTCTGCCTCTTGGCTATATTGTCAGATTGCTATTTTGTTTTTATTGGCCTGGAAATCTTGTCTGTCCTCTCAATCTTGCTGATTTATAATGTGACAATGTACCTGTCCCATATCTTGAAATTGGAACCACTCAGGACCAGCAACTGCATCTCAGTCATCTTTCTTTTCTTTACTCTGCTGCACCTGACTGAGGCCCAAATAAATATAGTTAACTGGATGAATGCACGTGTAAAATCAAATCCCAGGTTTTTTAATTAAAAGATTGTTGAAAGTATGTTTCCTTCTTCTGATGGAGTCTCGTTTCTTAATTCGTGCTGAGAAAATTTGCCTAAGATAGCTGAGCAGAATGGTGAAAACATGCTGGCACAGTCTTCCATTGGTGACGCAAGGGTATTTTGTGCTTTGGAACCATTTACAAACAGTGGAGAAAAGGATTTCGTAACTATCCCAGAGATTAGAGACCTGAGTAAAGAGTCCTATTAACAGTCTTTCTGGCACTTGGATAACCTGAATCCCACCCAAGACTGTATTTCTATATGCAAAAATGTGAAGATTTACTTAAGACGCTCGCTCACATTTTATAGATAAACTGGGATAGAAAAAGTTCTTAAAATAACACATCTGCCACAACATTCTAATCTGGTTTGTGATATTTTCCTGTCATGAACATATACAAATGGTTATTAATGACCAGAAGGCGTCCATTTTTACAAGACTTGGGCTATTATGATCGAACACACTCAGAGCCACTTCACCAGGAGGTTTCTTTTAAAGAACAAGGGGCCTTTTGTCTGCAAGCCCTCACTAAAGTGTGATAGACACTGGGGCACTCCCTGGAATGTCTTAAGGGCCATGTTGTCCTGTGACAAACAATTGGAGAAAGCATGCACAGAACTAGAAATCAAGACAGTTTATTAAGAAAGGGAATGCACTCCTGAGCCCAAGAACGAGACAGTGAGCTGTGGAAGAACTATGCCCTCAACTAGGCGAGAGGTCTTGTTACTTAGCCGTCCTCTCTAATATTTGTATAGTGTGTGCTTTTCTTATTCTCGCTCTGCTTTCTACATGAAGCCCAGGTAAGGCATAGTTTTTAGTCTTTCCCTGCGACTGGATTCCTTTACATGCTAATTGTGGTGTTGCTGTCTATAGTCCCTATTCTCCTGCCACAAAAGTGGTCATTAACGTCATAAAGACCAGGACATTGGAGTCATCGAAGTCTGGGCCGGATTCACACGCAGGACACTGCAGCACATGTCATTCACTTGTGTTTACTGGGTTTTGGTGTGCATTAGTCAAGCTCGAATTAAAGTTTGGTGCAAACAGCAACGCCTACCGCAAAAATGCTCTTGTGGGCACTGCCACAGAAACCAAACAGAAACAGGACTTCAGGTGTATACACAGGGAGTAGCCCGAGTTATAAAAGCCCAAACATAAAGGCCTTTTGAGTTGTAAAGAGGTGGAAGGTAAAGAGAACATCATGGGAAATGATGAAGCTGAACATTTCAGTTTCATGGTTATTTAACAGGAGATAAGGCAGTGAGCTTATCTTTATCACAACCCAAACTGCCGATTCAACGTGTAAGAAATAATGCTGAGTCACTTTGCAAGAAGTTAAAAGTCCAACTTTAAATGTAGAGTAAATCCAAAGAAAATCAACTTTCCCCAGGGAAAAAAACCATAGGTTGATTAATAGATGTCTGAAACCATGTACCAATTTGCAATTACTTATTTTATTTATGTGTAGTGTGTGTGTGTGTGTGTCTGTATGCATGCCTAGGCACATGCAGAAGCCCGTGGAAGGTTCCCAAAAAATGGAGTTGGATTTTTTTTTTGAGCTGGAGTTACAGGGAGATGTGACGGACTTGATGTGGGGGCTGAGAACCAAACTCTGGTCCTCTGCAAGAGCAGCAAGTGCTTGTGAGAGCTGAGGCATTTCTCCAGCTTTGTTTTAACATGCTACATTAGCCATCCGGATGGTAGAAACATTCAGAGTTCCTTATAATTCTATGGGAAATGTCACACTTCAGACATATTTTATTTTCTATTTGTATAGTTGTTCAAATTTGTGGGTTTATCCTCCCTAAAGGCTTTGTTTTTTATGAAGATTTAAGGTTAAAAAGTGCCTTTGAGATGAGTCTGTTTCCTTTTTCACAGTGAAGTAGCAATAGAAAAATACTCAGACGAGTCACAAACGACCAGCAAAACAACGAACAGAAATGTCTTGTATGTGTTTGAGGATAAAGTAATAAAGCGGTAGAGTTCAGTTTATGATTAACGATAAATAAGATAATCAGTTGACACTATCTCAACCAAAAGTGCTGACTCACTTGCAAGAAATAGTGCTGACTCATGTGCCAGGCTTTCACTTTTGGGCCACCAACCAGCTCCCCAATCGTGACATGGAGACTGATTAATTCTGAATGCTCAGCCTAGCTAGGCTTGTTTCTGGCTAGCTTGTTTCTAACTTAAATTGGCCTGTTTTGCCTTCTTTACCCTTTGTCTTAGGTTATATTATCTTTCTTACTTCTGTATATATTACTTTCACAGCTTCTAGTGTCTAGCTGGCAGACAGCTGCCTGGCTTTTGGCCCCAGGTATCTCACTCAGGCCTTGATTTCTCCTCCTGTGTATTCTCTCTACCTGCCAGCCCCATCTATCCTTTCCCTCTCTCTATCTATTGGGCATTCAGCTCCTTTAATCAGGTGCCTTAAGCAGGCAAGGTGAAACAAATGCAACACATCTTTGCATAATTAAACAAATGCAGCAGAAACAAAAGTAACACACCTTTACACAGTTAAAGCAATATTCCACAGGATAAACAAATGTAACACATCTTTGCCTAGTTAAAATAATATTTCACAAGAGACTCACTATGCAAGAAATAATGATATTTGCTAGTGACAGGTGAGTCATGTCTCCAATCTGTGGCTTTTATGTATTTTGTTTTGTTTTTTCAAGACAGGGTTTCTTTGTAGCTCTGGAGCCTGTCCTGGAACTAGCTCTTGTAGACCAGGCTGGCCTCAAAGCCACAGAGATCTGCTTGCCTCTGCCTCCTGAGTGCTGGGATTAAAGTTCTATAATAGTCTTTATTAGCCACTTAGAGGGAATATTCAGGTTCCATACAAGTCTAAAAGAGATCTCAGAGCTCAGATGAGTTTTATTTTCTGTACATATATATTTGCTTAGTTTATCCTTCCAAAAGACTTTGTTTTATAAATATTAAAGCTTAGGAAGTGTCTTTGAGATCAGTATTTTTACCAGTATTATTGGATGGTACTTTAAATATATAAGTCAATATTAATGACTTCCTGTTATATCCAGTTTGCCTAAAATGGTAAAGGCACCAGTGTTTAGAGACAACTTTCAGAAACTTTTTATTTCTTATATCAGAACTTAAATTTTCTATAAGGATCTATAATTTTCTGAAAAATGTATGATTGGTCATTAGTTTGGAAGTGGTGTGGGAGTGGTTAAGGTGTCTATAGGTATCAGTAGATATGGTGCCTATGCTTCAAAAGTCCACTTAAAGTTGGGAGTGGCTGGTTTTATTCTTTGTTCCCTCACTTACTAGAAAGACACTTAGCCCATTTCTCCGAGCTTCCTATCCTGAGTCAATCTGAAAGACGGTTCTGATCTATGCTCTTTAATGACTAGATTTTCTTTTTTTTTTGATACATGCTCAAGGGCTAGCGCTTTGATCTTCTACCGGAGCCTGCTGCACACAGAGTGTGTTATTGTGAAGGCTAGGTTTGGAGAGAACGTGGGATTTGAATAACCTCCTCTTGTACTGTACTGTCAGATCATTATCTTATGCTCCTTAGTACTTTGTAAACCTGTTTCAGCTGGTGCCAGTAGTATTGTGTGCTAGCTTACTATATAAAGGGGTATGTGTTTACGAATAATGGGAGGGTCATTCATTTTCAGCTTTGTCATGGTGAATAACTACTTTTCTCAATAATTAGCCTAAAATGTTTTTGGAAAGACAAATAAGGAATCAAAATGAAGGAAGAAGAGGATGCCAATTCTTTACAAAACCAAACCTTGAAAAACAGATCACTATGATCTGTCTTCACAGAGAAATCCTCTGTGATTTGAAGGGCTGTAGATTTGTTCCTCCAAGTTCCCATTCTGCTAGATGCACGGAAGGAAACATTTTCTTCCTTGACAGTAATTCTTCTCATTTGTACAGGTTATGTTCTGTAGAGAATTTTATATAGAAAGAACAAAGTGGAAATTGATAGAGAAAACACCAGATATGTTTCTCTCCAGAAAAATTTCATTTGTTACATGGAATCATAGTCTATTTCTCAAGGCTTAGGATAACCTTTGTGCTGAGTTGGGTATTACAGAGAGGATCAAGGGTCAAGTCACTGACCGAGAGTATGAAATAATAGGATAATGGAACACACATAGTTAGCATACAATTTGATTTTTGATCTTGAAGTTACTAAACCCCAGCCCCCAGCATGGCTAATTTTGCAACCT